TTACTAAAATAAAATATGATCATGTCTTGATTTAATTATTTAATTAGGACAGTAACGTCTGACTTTGCTTAGACAAAAGTCTTAACAGAAATATTGTACAGTGTAGAATATAAAGTCATGGTGCAGTGGAAGAGAATAAATATTGTGTATGTATCCCATGACCTTGGAGGACTGCATCCGTACATCTCTGCATGACTCAAATAACATATTAATAAAGTCATCTGGAATGGCAAAGAAAGCATCCTGCAGGACTCCCAGAGTTCATCAGGATTCTTTGGATTCATCTTCAATGCCTCCTCCATTTTACCCCTGACATACTCAATAATGTTCATGTCTGGTGACTGGGCTGGCCAATCCTGGAGCACCTTGACCTTCTTTGCATTCAAGAACTGTGATGTAGTAGAGGCTGAAGTATGAGGAGGAGCGCTATCCTGCTGAAGAATTTGCCCTCTCCTGTGGTTTGTAATAAAATGGGCAGCACAAATGTCTTGACACCTCAGGCTGTTGATGTTGCCATCCACTCTGCAGATCTCTTGCATGCCCCTATACTGAATGTAACCCCAAACCATGATTTTTTTCTTCACCAAACTTGACTGATTATTGTCAGAATCTTGGGTCCATGCTGGTTCCAATAGGTCTTCTGCAGTATTTGTGATGATTGGGATGCAGTTCAACAGATGATTCATTTAACATAAATCAACCTTCTGCCACTTTTCCAAACGATCAACTAGAAGTCAAGTTATTATTTGTTGCTTAACAACTGAGATCAACGACAAGACTTTTGTCAGGTAGTGTATAGCATGTAAAAAATAGTATGCTTATTGCTCTTAAGTGGACAAAATATATCACAGGGTTAATGAAATTTATGCAAGCCTACATACACAATACACATTCTAAACAGAAGTGTTGTTTACTGTTGTCACATGATCTCATAATCATGCATTGTAATGCTGTCCATTTCTTACCATGGCAACCCTTTAGGGACTTTCTAGTCTTTGGAATAAGCACAATTATTCATTTATGCAAATTAATTATTTATGTTTGCTACTGTTTTGACTTGTAATCTGCTGGCCAAATACAATGAATGCATTTAATTAGTTTAATACCACTATTTTTTTATTAATTTTGAAATATTTATGCAATTTAAAGTACTGTTCTACTATGCTAATACTATAACATTACCATAATTTTGTTCTAAGACAATGTAATTTTTAAGAAGCACAATCAAATCAATCTGTTTTACTTTATTACAGCAACATATAAGTAGTTTATATAACTATATAGGTGTTTACGTATTTGCAGATAGTACACTAAGGGAAGATCAAAGTGATTATACGCGCATTCAAAGAAAGACATCGGAGAAACAAAAGAGAGATAGAATTTCCACCTGCTTGTCTTAATAATAAGCACTTTGTTTTTCTAGCTGCCATTTATTATTGAACAGAATGCATTATAATCACATAGTGACAGAGAAACACATCAGACCTGCGGTTGTGGATACAATGTTAAATAGGTGTGAAATGTAGTGGCAGCTGTCTCGTTGCTAAAACAAAAGTGGCAACTTTTATACCACTGAATACTTATTTATGTAGGTCAGAGACATTTTCAAAGACATTCATGCAACTGAAGTTTGATGTTTTCAATGTTGCTAACAATTATATTACAACACGTAAACGCATGAATGAGCTTAAAATATTTTTATATATTGTTTAAATGATTAGAAACTTTTTGATAACAGGTTTGAAGCGTAGGGGACATTCTACCAGAAACATACATTGGGCTGTATTTTGACGGTCCATGCGCAAAACGCAGGGCGCAAACGCTTTCAGGGTGTGTCAGAATCCACTTTTGCTAATTTAAGGATGGAAAAATCTGCTTTGCGCCGTGGTGCATGGTCTTAAAGTGTTGAGTTTATTTTCTTAATGAGTTATAGGTGTGTTTTGAGAATAACCCAATCAGAGTCTCATCTCCGATTACCTTTAAGAGCCAGCTGCGTCGCACCATAAGGGCATTTGCTATTTACATGATGTAAAGTAAGTGTAAGTGGAAACACTGAGTTTTACTCTAGAAAGAAAACAGTTAAACAGAGCATCTACTGCCTGAGAATGAGAGATAAGGCATCTCATAATCTAGTTTCACTTTCGCTCTCGTGGATAGGGAAACCTTTACGTACAGACATCCATTAGTCTATAAATTATTAATTTCGTTTGTTAAGTTTAAAGATTTGTTTCAAAACTGTTTCTAAATTCAGTTCTAATTTCCAGCAAACGAATAAATGAACAATAATAACGAAGTGTGGTCAAAAAAATCAGAGTTATATCCTAAAACACATGCTGTGCCCCATATGGTCTAAAACCTGACAGGTGGAGAAATCTAAGCTTGTTTTTAATTAAACAAATATAAATATGCATATAATAAATTATACTGCTAATAATAATAACATTATACAAAAGCAAATTGAATGAACTGAAAAAGCCTCTAGAGATGAAGAAGGCATGAAGGTAAGTGGGTTTTAAATTCATGTAGGCTAGAAAATATTAAGTTTTGTAATATTTAAATCCTTTATATCCTATATATATCCTTAATATTTTAAATATTTTTCATGTGTAAAGATATTTGCGTATTGCTCTACATCTTGTGTGTATTAAACTGTGTAAGCCAGACGCACTCTGCGCCAGACAATAGACCGGCTTTGTTCTGGTCTAAAGAACAGACTATTATAGATTCTCAAAATAGCAACGTGCCAGCAACACGTCAAAACACACCATCTTTTTTAGACCAGAACGCCTATGGGCGCACGTATGAGCGCAAATGCATTTGCTATTTAAACAGCGTGGCCCAACACCTCAAAACGACTTTTGCGCCGAGCTGAAAGTAGCAAATAACAATTGCGTTGCGCCTTGCGCCACATTGCACCGGGTGTATGATAGGGCCCATAATCTGTCCCTGAAATAAAAACATAAATACAGTAAATAAAAAGTATTTCATCCCAAAAATGTCTTAAATGGCCTGATGGATGATTTCTGTAAGCTGTAAAGGAATGTTATTCATGTGGTTTTCAGATTTTGTTTTCTTTATGAAAAACATTTTACAAATGTACAAACCCTGTCATTGTCCTTGTGCTCAGCCCAATTGAATTTACAGCTTTAACAGTTTTGTTATAAAAAACTGTTAGTTAGAGAGAAAAAAAAATGCATGTTTCAGATTTATTTATTTTATTGAACAGGGACAATGCTCATTAATCAATAGTAAAACTGTAAATAAGCCAGTTAGCTACAAGGGCTAATTTTCATCTGTTGCCCCCTGCCAGATTTTAAAAGGCAACCTGAAATCAAAAAACACGTTATCACACATCCAATAACTGTAAAGTTACATACAGCAAAAAGATAAAAACATATAATAAGACATTAATAAACAGTTAGAGAAAAGAATTACAGATAATTGCAAACTTGATTTGCTTTTAGCCATTTCTTTAAGTGAAGTTTATTTATAAACAAATTTTGAGAGGATCACATGCTTATGATTGTTCACAGCTGTTCCAACTTTAGCTAATGACTAATTATCCTATCAGACGATGCTTAACTCACTATAAATAACCAGACTTTTCTCATCTCAATATCTTCGTCTTTAAGAAAGTTGGTTCGAGCCTCAGCTTGATCAGTTGACATTTCTTTGTGGAGTTTGCATGTTCTCCCTGTGTTGCTGTGGGTTTCCTCCGGGTGCTCTGGTTTCCCCCACAAGTCAAAAGACATGCGCTATAAATTGGGTAGGCTAAAATTGTCCGTAGTGTAAGTGTGTGAATGGAAGTGTTCCCCAGTGATGAGCTACAACTAGAAGGGCATCCGCTGCGTAAAACATATGCTGGATACATTAAACAAATAAAAATGAACATCTTGTACACTATTAAAAAATATCGGTAAATAAACTGTTATCTGTATTTTGTGATTTATAGTTTTATTTTTTGTTATTTATGCTTTTATGAGACCTTTATCTTACTTCATGGCAAATTTTAACCTTAAAATGTTGGAAAAAGTGACTTTTATGAACATTTTTAATAGTTTAAAGTGATATATTGTCTGGGTTGGTGTTGTATATTATGCTGCAAAAACCTTGTTGTTATAAACTGCCAGTATATTTTCTATTTATTTATAGCCTATATTATTTCTTATACATGTTATTTCAGACTACTAAAATGCCAACAAGGGCGAAAAAGTGAAATAGGTAGTGCTGTTGCCTCACAGCAAGAAGGTCGCAAAAACGTGCTGGAGAAGTTGGCGGTTCATTCCACTGTGGCGACCCCAGATTAATAAAGGGACTAAGCCGACAAGAAAATGAATGAATGAATTTGTCAATAAAAGTCTCTTTGTTAAATTGTAGAGTTGAATTTTCAACATCAAAAGTCGACAGAGCAGAGATCAACATCTCATAATGCAATTAACAGCATGAATAAACGGAAAACACAAAATAGGGGAACTGTTAATTAACAGATATTTTTTACAATGTTGCTGAAAATGAGTTCCAAAATGCAAAAAAAAAAAAAAAAAAGCATTTTTGGGTCCCGTCTAAACATTAAATTAGAGAATCCTATTTTTGAACGTGGTCATTCTTCCATCAGAAATGCATACATTTCTGATAGATAATCTAGTTGAGCAAATGCTCAAAGAATTGCATTTTTAAAATTGGCTATAATAGCTTTGATCTGTATAACATTTGTTTCATATTATTAGCCTATATTGTTTGGAACTGGAAACTGAAGCTTAATAATTGTAAACTTGTCTATTTCTAATGACATGTAATTATTTGACTGTACATTAAACTAATTACCAGAAAAACGTCTTCAAACTACAAACCTGTCCCAACGGTGTAGTCCATTGTGTATTTAAATTTCACAAGACCCACCCTCAGTGCTGTCATAAATCTCGTGCAGAAGTGACACGCCCACTTGATTCAAAACTCGAGCGCAGGCGGCACAAATCCGAGCAGTGATGAGCATTTAAAGCCAGGTCACTTCACAAACTCTGAAGCACTCCGCGCGTGCATGGATGACAACTCCAGCTATCGGGACTGCGTTAAGAGACCACTGTCTGATGGCATTTTAGTAAGACATTTACAGTGAAACTTATTTTTAGACGCAGGCTCAGATTTGGATGCCATGTTACAAAGGTAACAGGGCCAGGTCTGACTGAGCAGGGCGTCAAAGGAACTGTTGGACTGAACTGAAAAAGGAGCACCAAAGTATCAAGAAATGGCAAAGCCCATGGATCATGTTAAGCGCCCCATGAACGCTTTTATGGTGTGGTCGAGAGTTCAGAGGCGGAAGATGGCTCTGGACAACCCGAAGATGCACAACTCGGAGATCAGCAAGCGCCTCGGAGGCGAATGGAAACTCCTGTCAGACTCTGAGAAAAGACCTTTCATTGACGAGGCCAAACGACTCCGAGCCGTCCACATGAAGGAGCACCCGGATTACAAATACAGACCGCGGCGAAAGCCCAAAAACTTGATCAAAAAAGACAGGTATCATTTTAATGTCACGTATAATCTGGGTGAGGGGGACCCGCTGAAGAGCGCGCGCCTGTCCGGGGACGCGCTCTCGGACTCTTTGAGCGCGGAGAAAACGTCTGTCGCCGCCGCTGCTACTCGGGTGTTTTTCAGCCACCATCTGTCCGCAAACCCCTATCCTTTTCTCGACCTGAACTCTAAAATATCGGAATTACCTCCTGCACCTTTCCCGCATTATTCCGTGCTCGGGTATCCCAGCGGACTCCCCGCGTTTCCCGGGATGGGGGTTCTGGCCGGTGCGCCCCACGCTCACCCGTCTGCGGGGAGTCCAGGTCACATGCTGCCCTATAACTGCCTGGGCTGGCCGGGCTCTGGACCTGCCGTTCCCTCATCTTATGTACTTTTACCAGGAATGACCAAAGCTCAGCATGAACCTTACCTGGCATATGCTGCAACGATATGAGTGGAGTTTAAAGGGCCACGCTGTTCATGTGGTACAAGGTCACGTGCACTTGTTTGAAGTTTTGCATTTGTCAAAAAGAAATAAATGTGTAAAATATTTGTGGAAAGCGTTTCAATCTTTAATGTCTTTTGCATTGTATTCGATTATATGGGCATTTTGGTGGCTCTTGTTTACATGCTAACCAATTAATTTACAGTATTTAATATTGGACGACATATTATGTATACCAGGGGTGGCCACCCCTGATGTATACTCTTTATGCTACAAACTTCAGTTTAACAACCTAAAACAACAAAACTTTTTAAATGGCTATGCCTACACTTTTAAATCCGAGATGCCCAAACTAGTTGGCCCATGGTAACTTTGATTTTGGCCGACCATCCCATCTGAGAAGAGAGGTAGAATAATGGGAATGGTTAAAAGACATTTTAAATTTTATGTAACCTTTTATTGGTTGGTTTTAATGTTAAAAGCTAACTGAAATTAAATGTTTTAATTTAGATGGTTAAAATTAGTCATATTTAGGTTAAATTACATACTGTCACCCGACAAATAGAGGACAGTGCAGAGAATTGGGTGAGTGAATCAAGACAAGGGCAGATTCTGGTTGACTAGTGTACTGTATACAGAATTCAACTCTGTCTTATAAATGCGAGTGTTTTTACTGCAATACGTTATGATTAAAGTTATACTGCATTACTTATTACGATTCAAAGTAATGTTTTCTAGTTATTTATAAATATTATGAAATTAGTTAGAAAATTACACATGGCAACTTTAATGTAATATGGTTTGATATATTTATTTTCGGCCCATGGCTCTCTATGATATTTGGATTTTGGCCCTTCATACGAAAATGTTTGGCCACCCCTGCTTTAAATCATTAATTTATTCATTTTCTTTTCGGCTTAGTCCCTTTATTAATCTGGGTTTGCCACAGCGGAATGAACCGGCAACTTATCCAGCAGATGTTTTACACAGTGGATGCCCTTCCAGCAGCAACCCATCACTGGGAAGCTTTAAATCATATTTTAGATTTTAATACATGTATTTTTTTTTTTTGCAATATTTGCTGCGCACAATTATCTGTTTTATACATATGAAGTAAATTATCCTTCGTTTTACAATTACAAACCATTTAAGTTTTCATAATTGCATACATTATCGTCTTTCAGTGTTCAGATATACAGTTGAAGTCAGAATTATCAAACCTATTGAATTATTAGCCCCCCTGTTTATTTTCCCCAATTTCTGTTTTACGTATGTTTAATTATTCAAGACACTTTTATACAGCTTAAAGTGACATTTAAAGGCTTAACTAGGTTAATTAGGTTAACTAGGCAAGGTAATTAGGCTAGTTATTGTATAAGAATGGTTTGCTCTGTAGACTATTGAAAAAATATATAGCTTAAAGGGGCTAGTAATTTTGACCTTAAAATGGTTTTTAAAAAATTAAGAACTGCTTTTATTCAAGCCGAGACTTTCTCCAGAAGAAAAAAAATATTATCACACGGTGAACATTTCCTTGCTCTGTCAAACATAACTGTATATAACCAATTTGTAAACAAATTGTAAAACAAAGAATATATATCATTTATTTTTACCCTGGTTATCTAAAACAGTTATTCAAGTAACAGGTTTTTAAATCTACAATTATATTTATTTACAACAAGTTCAAACACGTTGTATGAGCTAATATTTTGATATACACATTTCTTCTTTTTTTTTGGTGTCACATTACAAATATAATGTTTGCGGATTAAACTAATAATAATCAAAGGTTTGTAAAAATTACAGAAGGAACTATTTTAAAATGTATTGTCGTCAAAATAACATGTTCTTCTGACAAACCAATTAAAGCCGAGACCAGATAAATGTGTTATATGATATACTTTAGAACAATAGACAGCAAGTGGCAGAATTACAGAAGTGGAAAACAATCTGTTTAGATGACAGTCAACAGAGCTTCAGCTGAATCAAGAGCTTAAACAGATCATTGGTCTCTTTTAACCAGGAGTAATGATGAGAAACAAAAAGTCAGTCTTTAGGAAACTGTAAGAGGCGATCTAACACTGAAAAAAAAATCAAAGGTGATTTCTAGGATTTACTTTTTTTTTAAGTGAAGTGGTTGTAAACAATTTATTTGGGCCTAATTTACTACATTTAATTAGTTTTTTAACCTTCAACAGATATAAATTGTTCGCAACAATTTTGCAGACATGTTTTTTTTTCAGTGAAGAAAAAGACCTGATAAAAAAAAAAAACAATAAAAGCAGAACAAGCTCCTGATGGGAAGTGTCTTTACAGTAGTTTACGTGATTAGTTAAATTGCAGCACTAATCCTATTGCTGTTTAAATTCAAGACAAAGTGAAGATTCAATTGATTATGCACTCAAAATATGTATATTTTGCTGCTTGTTCAAACTACTTAATTAAAATGAGCTGAATCAACACAATTCTTGAGATTTTTTTGGGGACAACTTAATGGTTTTATATTCAATCTGCTTAAATTTGTTACGTTAACTTAATCAATTTGTGTTGAGAAAACTTGAATGAATTGTGTGGAACCCAGCATTTTTTTACAGTGTATTAATTATTAATAATCAATTTAATTGCATATAAAATGCTTTTTTTACTTTAATTCTCTGAAAATGTATCTATATTTATTTGAACATTATGTTTATTGGGTTTTTCCAAGTTAAACACAAAGTGCAACAAAGTATCATCTAAATGGATCATTCATGCCCACATATAGTGCCCTATACATGCACCAAACCTTCAGCCCATGCATAGTGCCATAAATAAACCATGAATAAAATTAAACAATTCATTTAAAATGCTTTATCAAAGCATTCTGTCCTGTTATACCCAAGAAATGAAGCTGCCCTAGCATTTAACAAACAAATCTTGTCGCTTTTTCAGACGAAACACAATTTTTTTTTTCACAGTTGAAGTCAGAATTATTCAACCCCAGATTTTTTTTCTTTTTTAAATATTTCCCAAATTATGTTTAACAGAGCAAGGAAATGTTCACAGTATGTCTGATAATATTTTTTCTTCTAGAGAAAGTCTTACTTGTTTTATTTTGCCTAGAATAAAAGCAGTTTTTAATTTTTTAAACACCATTTTAAGGACAAAATTATTAGCTCCTCTAAGATAATTTTTTAATCTTGATAACCATCGTTATACAATAACTTGCCTCATTACCCTAACCTGCTTAGTTAACCCAATTAACCCAGCGAAGCCTTTAAATGTCACATTAAGCTGTATAGAAGTGTCTTGAAAAATATCGAGTAAAATATTATTTACTGTCATCATGGCAAAGATAAAATAAATCAGATATTAGAGATAAGTTATTAAAACTATTATGTTTAGAAATGTGTTGACAAAATCTGCTCTCCGTTAAAAAGAAATTGGAGAAAAAATAAATGGCTAATAATTCAGGGGGGCTAATAATTCTGACTTCAACTGACTAAGATGACACTTCTTTAATCCACATGGACGGTGGTTTGAAATCTTTCCATCTCAGAGTAATGCGTTTTATGGCTGCTAGTAGTTGACAAATCTCAGATTAACGCTTTGTTGATCAAGTAGTCCCCTAAGAGGGTAAGTCTAGGCTCTCTAGGCACAATAGTACCTACAACTATGGCAATAAAATCTAAGACCTCTTTCCAATATTCTTCAAAGTCAGCGCAAGACCACAGCATATGTAGGAGAGTCTCTTTATCTGCTTTACATAAGACAAAGCTTTGGGTAGGAGCTTTTAAATGAGTGCAATCCGGAGTTACTTGTTTTATATTAAACTGGATGAGTTTATGACGACTATTGATAGAGAAAATCTGGGCTTTCTCACATCTTGTTTCCCATTTGTCATCTGTGAATGAGCTCTCCAAGTGTCTCTCCCACTTACCAGCTCTAAAAATGACTCTAGATCAGAATTATTTACATTCTGTCTCCATCATATCTACATGTGTATTTGTGTAAGAGGCTCGTCACAGTGCTGACATTTTTGTCAAAATAATACTAATCCCATAAGCACAAATGTATAACAGTGACCTGATTAAGTTAATGAATACTTTTAGCACACCCTCATATTATTTACTTGTATAAGTGAAGCAATGCAAATGAATATTACAACATAAAAAACACATAAGCCAGTGGTATATTGTCTGTCTATAATCAGCAATGACAACAGGTTACAAAGATCATGGGTAATTTATCCACAGCTTGTGTTTTATGTAAGCATAAAGATAACAAATCATTAATAACAGAATGATTAAGCTCTAGGGATGCAACTGCTTTTAATGTTTTTACTGTAGATAGAAGATTATATTTAATTACATAAACTTTTTGTGTTGCTATAAAACATTAATATTTGAGAATAAGCAATTAAGATTATGCAATTTGATTATTTATTGTTGTTTTTGTATATTTTACAATATTTTTTTATATATTAATAATCATTTTTGTATGTACAGAAGTTAATTTTTTGGCCCTCATGTGATTTTTCTTTATTAAATATTTCCCCAATGATGTTTAACAGAGTCGGGAATTTTTAACAGTATTTTCTATAATATTTTTTCTTCTAGAGAAAGTCTGATTGGTTTTATTTTGGCTAGAACAAAAGCCGTTTTTAATTTTTTAAAAACATTTTAATGTCAATAGTCCTAATATTAGCCTTAAGCTATATCTTGTTTATCCATATATAGCTATATATATCTTAAGCTATATCTGATAACAAACCACAATAACTTGCCTAATTATCCTAACTTGCCTAATGAACCTAGTTAAACTTTTAAATGTCACTTTAAGCTGAATAATGTCTTAAAATATCTATGAAAATATTATTTACTTTCATGATCGCAAAGACAAAAGAAAGTGTTAGAAATTGGTTATTAAAAATATTAGGTTTAGAAATGTGTTGAAAATACAGAAACACCTCAATAACAACCTTTTTAGATACAACAAAAATACAACAGTTCAAGTTCACTCTGTGAGTGTAAATATAGGCTAATCAATTCGTTTTGCTCTTCTATTGTTAATTTTTTGTGTTTCATATTATACTAATTACTATCAAATACATACAACAATGGTAAAAGTTCCTTTTTTAATCACTATAAATGGCCTTGTACATACAGTAATACAAACTTCCTTAATCAGCCTACAGACAAGCATCATAAGAAAGAAAGAAAACGACAACAACAACTAGGGGTTTTTAGCAAGTTCAGGGTGCTTTATTAAATAACAGACAATTCAGGCATTTTTCTTCATTCGTTTAAGTGACATAGTTCCTTGTGAAATACATCACATTTTAGAGGGATTCTCAAGAATCTGTACTTATGTAAAAAGAACTTCCCAAGAATAATAATAGTGTTAAATGCTAAATCAAGTCTGTCAAAATTAAAGCCACAGCTCCCTCTGCCGCTCACAACCATTAATGACGATGTTTTATTTTTTGCATTTTGTGCCTTAGTTTATTTTGGTAGTTGTAATGTATTAATGTCATTATGTATACCATATATGTGTCGTTGTATATGTCATTAACTATTAAAAAAGACGAAATAAAAAGACCTGTGTTTCCCACCGGAAACAAGTGGTTTGTGCAGCCTGTAGTGGTTGCTAGGAAACAGTCAACAGAAACAAGCCAGAGCAGTGGACATCAGCGGTAAGGCGATGCTGAATAATAATAGCAGCCCTTAAACTGTTTTAATCTAACCAACCAGTACGTTAGTGTACAAAAAGATTACAATTCGACTTGTTTTTGCATCTTGTTTTTATTTCTGCAGCTTAATAAACGGAAATGTTTTGCGAAAATCTGCATTAAAACAGTGTTTGACAGTAAAAAACGTTAACGTAAGCTTTAATAACTAACGTTACGTTAACTAACTTAGTATTTTAGACTGAGTGTAACATTATATAACAACGTTATAGTTGTTTGAGCTGGTAAAGCTCATTTATTTCTGAAGCATGATGTGTGTAAAGTTTTAATTTTTATTTTCTTGTAACGTTAATCCTTTATAAATTTTAATTGTAACTTTTTTTTCTCAGAACTGTTAGTTTGTAACTATCTTGATATTTTGACAGGATATGTCTCAATTTTAATTTATTTCTCAGGTTTGTGAGGGAAAATAGAATAGCTTTTTTTGTATTTCATATTGAAATTTTGTGGGTGAAACGGTGGCTCCCCTTACAGCAGGAAGGTTGCTGGTTCGAGTCCTGGTTGGGCCAGCTAACATTTCTATGTGGAGTTTGCATGTTCACCCTGTGTTCTTGTGAGTTTCTTCTTTTGCTCCGGTTTACCCCACAGTCCAAAGACAAGTGCTGTCGGTGAACTGAATAAACTAAATTGGCCATTGTGTATGTGTGTGAGATTGAGTGAGTATGGGTGTTTCCCAGCACTGGGTTGCAGCTGAAAGGGCATTCGCTGTGTAAAACATACGCTAAATAACTTGGCGCTTCATTCCGCTGTGGTGACCCCTGATCAATAAAAGGACTAACCCCAAGGAAAATGAATGAATGAATATTGGAAATTGGCTTCAATATCCCAGGCTCTGGAATCAAACATCTTCTCTGGATGATAACGTAATCATAATAATCCTGTTGATGGCTCGGTATATGGTTCTGATTTTGTGTAGTTACACAATGAATTTTCTCTTCTCAGGAATTCTGAAATCTCCGAAATTCTGCAAACATGCCTAAAAAAGCAGGGAAGAAGGCCGGTGGAAAACTGGCCGGGTTGACGGAGGAGGAGAGACTCCTGTACATGCAGCAAAAGGCTCAAGCGGAGGAGGAAATCGCCAAGAGAAAAGAGGACATGCTCACACACTTCCTCAAGGTGTGTGATAATCAGTGTGTTTGAGGAGCATGGGTTTTTGTAAACCAACATTGAGTCAAATCTAGACAAACCCAATGTTGTGTAGTTTTCAATGAAATGTAAATGACACTTTTAAACCAACAGTTGGGTTTTGAAATCAGTTTAAATGTTTTATAGTTTTGATGCTTGAAAACCCGATTACGTCCCACATTTTTGTTGTACTGCATAAACATCAGAAATGTTTAGTTTTTTAAATATGTACTTAGCACTAATTAACACAAGCTGTTTAAGGCTTATAAGGCTTAAGGGATTTCCACTCTTGTTTTTATAGGATAAACTGCAGAAAGAAGAGAAGAACACTGTACTGAACCTCCACAAGCTGCGTCAGCAATGGCGAGCTGTTTTGACGCAGACAAAGATAGCAGAGCTGCGCAATGACATGTCAGTCCTCTCGCAGACCTTCGAGAGAGTCCTGGACTACAAAGACAACATCATTAGGGTGACCACTTTATTTGCAAACGAAATGCATTTAATATAAACCACAGGCGTCAAAGCCAGATCCTTGAGGGCCACAGCTGAACTAACACCGAACTAAGTCCTTCAGGCTTGTTTGCAACCTACAGAAAAGTGTTGAAGCAGAGTTGGAACTTAACTGTGCAGAGCTGCGGCCCTCCAGGAACTGGCTTTGACACCTATGATATAAACTATACAAGTCTGATATATAATATCATATAATATAATATAATATAATATAATATAATATATGATTTTTAGACATATATAATATAAAAGTATGTCTAAAAACATTAAACGTGTGGTTGTGTGTGTGCGTGTGTGTGTGGGTGCGTGTGTTTGTGTGTGTGTGTGTTTTCCAGAGTTTGCAGGTTGATTTGTCAGAGAGGGAGCTTCAGTCGGAGCTGAAGCGCAGTTCACATCTGCACAACGTGGACTGTCTGTTAGAGATTCATAAGAGTCGACTGGCACAACTAGAGTTCAACTTCAAGAGCAGTCTAGTGGAACTTAGCTCAGAGTATAATACTGAGAGGTATACACACATGAACTGTCTCATATTCCCAAAATACTTACAAATGCATTCATTCATTCGCCTTAGTCCCTTATTTATCATGGATTGCCACAGGGTGATGAACCGCCCACTATTCCGTCATATGTTTTACGCAGCGGATGCCCTTTCAGCCGTGAGCCAGTACTTTGAAATACCCATACATTGTCACATTCACACTCACTCTCATACACTACAGGCCAGTTTAGGTTATCCAGTTCACTTATTACGCATGTCTTTGGACTGTGGAGGAAACCAGAGCACCTGGGGGAACCAAAGACATGCGCTATAGGTGAGTTGGGTAAGCAAAAATTGGCCGTAGTGTGTGAGTGTGTGTGTGAATGGGAGAGTGTATGGGTGTTTCGCAGTACTGGGTTGCGGCTGGAAGGGCATCCGCTGCATAAAACATATGCTGGAGTAGTTGGCGGTTCATTCTGCTGTGGCGACCCCTGTTAAATAAAGGACTAAAACGAAGGAAAATTAATGAATGAAAAAGCTGGGTTCCATCAATTTCTTCATGTTGTGTGAACAAAAATTAAGTTCACTTATTTGCAAGTTAAGTTTACATATTAAAGTAAATTAAACGTGAAACAATTACGTTGTCCCTATAAAAAATTGTTAGGAATTTTGTGTTTAAAAAAAAAGCAGCAAAAATAATAATTTTTGTGTGTGTCACCAATTACTCTCAGTCAAGTGGTGCTGAACTGTTATGATTTGCTTTCTTTTGTTGAACACAAAACCATAAACTACTGAAGAATTTTGGAAAAAAGAGCCAATGACATCCATAGTAGAAACAAAAAATACTATTGAAATCAATGGCTGTTTTTTCCCAGCATTCTTCAGAATATCTTCCTTTGTGCTCAACGAAAGAAAGAAACTCAAGTTTGGAGTAAATGAAGGAGTAAATGATGGTAGACTTTTCATTTTAATCACAACAAACAAACCACCTGTTATTCTGAAGGAAATGAGCCAATTTAGCATAAAATACTTTGATTCTGTTATGTTTCAGGGAGCAGATTCTCTCCCAGCACCAGCAGGAATGTGTGGATTTGGACAATGTGATGTTTTCCATGGAAAAGCACTACAGTGATCTCGATGGAGAGGCGAAACGTGATTATCAGAGCACTCGCAATCAAATAAAAAAACGGGTACGGGTACACATCGAAAGGGAAAGACCCCATCCATTAGTGACAATATCTTCCTCACTAGAATTACCAGCCCTTAGTAAGAAGCAGTCGTCCACCTTAAGAGTTTTGAATCTGCCGCTATAGTGACATATAGGCGTGTTTAGCTCCACCCTCTTTTAAAAAGAGCGCTGGGAGCAAAATCTCATTTGAATTTAAAGCGACGGTAATCAAAACCACACAACTTTTGAGCAAAGCCTAAAAGGGGCAGTTTCAAGGAGTATAAAACATTATTTGTGTGGTATTTCGAGCTGAAACTTTACATGCACACTTTAGGGGCGTCAGAAACTCATTTTAAAGTTTTAAAAAGGCATAATAGGTCCCCTTTTAAAGATAGTACTTATTAAAATGATTATTTTCAAATTGTATTAAAGAATCTGCTAAATGTAAAAGCCACATTAATAAGCCACATAGTGTTGGTTTATTGTAGTGAAATGGTTTGGGTTTTGTTTCTGCAGAACTTTGATGATAAGCAAGCGGTGAAAGAGCAGATGGATGGAGTTGTGGAGAAACTGTGGCAGGACCAGCAGCAGGTTTTAAACCACTACAACGAGTCCACCAGAGACAAAATCATCACGACCGATGATCTGATGAACAAGGATGTGCAAAGTGCCAAAGAAATCGACTCGCTTAAAAAACACATTCAGAAGCTGCAGGTCTGACAAAACCTGCTTTTTTCCGGGGTTAATAATTCAGGAGGGCTGATAATTCTGACTTCAACTGTACATTGTGAAATTATTATCTTTATTTTTTTTTACAGGATTCCATCTCTACTTTCCGTGGTCAGCTGAGCTCTGGTCAGACTGATAAAACAGCGGAGCAGCTTCGTTCTGAACGTGATGAACTCGCACAGGAAGTTCAACACTTCAGAGTCCAGCTCAATGCGGCGCAGGCCATCCGGAAAAAACACATTACTAAACTGACTGTTCAAAGCAACGACGCTACCAAAAAACTGCAGGAGATCGTAGCAAGGGTATGCACACACACACACACACACACACACACAAACACACACACACACACACACACACACACAAGCAAATGATCTACAGCAATATTCATATGGAGCTGATTGGCATTGAACTGTCCTATAAAGTGGCAAAGGAAGCAGTTCATTTGGAAATGATAGAAAGTAAATGGATCTGATAGATGTTAAACATTAAATCTTTACATTTGAAATAAATAGTGCATTGAATGAATGAAAGCATGAATGAGTGCATAAATGAATGAAAGAACAAATGAATGAAAGAATAAATAAATGAACCAATGAATGAACCAATGAACAAATAAATGAATGAACGAACAAATTAATGAATAAATGAATAAACAAATAAATTAATGAACGAACGGATGAATGAATGAATGAACGAACGAATGAATGAATGAATGAATGAATGAATGAACCAATGAACAAATAAATGAATGAACGAACAAATTAATGAATAATTAAACAAATAAATGAATGAACGGATGAATGAACGAATGAATGCATGAATGAATGAACAAATGATTGAAAAAATGAATGAAAGAACCAATGAATGAATGAACAAATGAATAAAAGAACAAATGAATGAATGAATGAACAAACGAATGAATGAACCAATGACCGAATGAATGAACAAATGGATGAACCAATGAATGAATGAACAAATGGATGAACCAATGAATGAACGAACGAACAAATGAATGAACAAATAAATGAACGAACAAACGAATGAATGAATTGATCAACTAATGAATGAATGAACAAATTAATGAATGAACAAATTAATAAATAAACAAATTAATAAACTAATTAATTAGTGAACGAACAAGCGAATGAATTAATATAAAACAAACTATATGAAGAGAACTCAGTAATAATCATTGGTATTTTTATAATACACATGACTAGGCTGTATATCCATGATATTTATTAAAAGGGAATATAAACCAGAATGTGATTTATGTAATAATGTCTATATATAATAATGAGTAATAATAAAATAATAAGTGGGAAATGTTTAAAGAATATAAATATACCATGATACATGACCTTTGTCAAAACATACTTTTTTATTAAAAAATATTTGCATTCATCAAGGATACAATCTATTAATTATAATAATAATATAAAAAATAAATGATAAATGGACAAACTAGAGCAGCAAATGATTGTATTTGAACAATATCTAGAGTATCAGGTGACAATGAAGACTAAAGTATTAATCTTGCAAATTCAGCTTTGCATAGCATGAATAAAAATTAATATAATATAATGTAATAAATCTTAAAGTGAAAGCAAAATAAAAGAGATTGTAGGAATAATTTAGTTTAGTAATAACATTCATAATATGAGTGCATTTCAACAACACGTCATAACGCACACTTATTAAATAATTATTAATAAAGCTAATTATATTTCCAAATTTATTAAACCAGACTGCGACTTCTTATGCATCATTAATAAAAGATGTTTTTAAAGCAGGACTGCATTGTGGAAATGTACTGGGAAAATAGAGAGTTATTATTATTAATATTTTGAATCAGTCATTTTAGCAATATTCTTAAATAGGGGGAAAGGCTGCTGCGTCAGTGCGAGATGTGCTGTAAACTGGAGACGGAGCACGAGAAGGTTTTGCCCTTCTACAAGTCATCACTGAGCGAAGAAGAGCAAAAACAGGAGAAAGCCAAAGCCATGGAGTCTTCAAATGAGAAACTCACACAGGTAATGAGCATTAAATCACACTCAGCAATCCCAAAACCCACTGTAAACCTGCATTCATTCATCTTGTCTGACAAGGAGTTACAATACCTTAATGTTTCACTCAGAAACACAGTACATCATGCTATGGGAATAAAACGAGAGGTCTTCAATTTGTTGAGTATTAAGTATTTTATGTTATTCTGTTCTTATCCACAGCTAATGCATGACTATTCGCCTCTTGCGAAGTTCTGGCAACGCTACAACAAAGTTGAGCTGGACTGTTTGTGTGTGAAGCGAGAGAAGCTGCTTCTGCTCCAGGAGAATGAGCGTCTGAGGCTCTTTCTGAAGCAGTACCTGGATGAAGTCTCGGTTTCTGATGAGAGTTTTCGGCAGCAGAAGCTTCTGGTGGTGTCGAGTCCTGCTCTTCAGGATACTGCTGCCACTGACAGACATCAGCAGAAAAGACACGTTGTGCAAGAAGCAGCCTGTATTGTGCAGAAACAGCTTTAGAGAATAAATGTAGAAAAACAATGCAGAATTGTGCTTCTAGCAGCAGTTAAAATGTTATAGAATTCAGGTTTGCTAATTTGTTAAAGTGATAGTTCACCTAAAAATGAAAATTCTGCCATCAATTACTCACCTTTACTTGTTCCAAATGTGTTTGTTTTTGTATTGTTGAACACAAAAGAAGATATTTTGAAGAATGTTGTAAACCTGTAACCATTGACTGGTATTTGTTTTTCTTAATATGGATGCCAGTGGTTATACAGTAGGTTTCCAACACTCTTCAGTATGAACAAAAACAAAACTCAAATTGGTTTGGAACAGGTCAAGGGTGAGTAATGCAGAAATGCTATTTTTAAGTGAACTTAACTATATATTTTATTGTAAATGTAAGATTTTTACAAATTTTACCCACATTTAAGTTTATTGACCTCAAGAAGGCGCCAAATCATTAAAGATTAACGACTCGGCAAAAATCCGATGTCCGTCCGCACTCCCGCTTTTTTGACGGTTTGAAACGTTTGCTTACGTTTTTAATCGTTGCTAGCATTTTTAGCACAAATTTTAGTTGTTTTAACATGTTTTATGCTTCTATCATAAATTATGACGTTTAAAAATGTTAGCAATATTCCTACAGATTAAAAAAATGTTTTATGAAGGGGAGCAAAATAATGTCTTGAAAAACAGTTCCTTAATAAAACATAAATCGCAACACTAGCTGAATGTTTTTGATGCAGCAGTGCATGCTGGGAAAACAATAAACGATAGCCCAAGTGCACAGTAAGGTCTTTCCAAACGACTAAAGATGGTATGATAAAGATTTGCTGATTCTTGAAGAACTTCTCTAACCATTGACCTCTGATCGCTTTCTTCAGCTGATGAATTACGCTGGGAGAGCCTGTGTGTCAGTGAGTGTTGAGCTTTCATGACTGAAGCCCTTTCACCTAAATTACTGACGATCATCTTAGTCATTGTAATCTTTCTATCTAAAACGAAGTGTGTTGCTTTCAAGGTAAACATTTATATCTGCGTTCATTTGCTGAAAATAATGTAGGCTTGTTCAATTGAGAGAAATGTGAAATGTTTAATTCGGCAAATATGCATTAAATTGGCCTAATCAGAAAAACTTATTTTGTTAAAAATAATTGTATTTATTTTTTTTATACATTCTAAGCAAATAATATTACCTAAATTATACAAAAGATGCATTAGGGTTTCCACACAAATATTTAACCAGCACTGTTCATTCATTTTCCTTTGACTTAGTCCCTTATTTATCAGGTCACAACGGTGGAATGAACCACCTAACCAGCACTGTATTTAATATTAATAATAATAATAATATTAAATCTCTTAAGTCACCAATTACGATATACATATCAGAAGAATAATTGGACATCACGTGAGTCGTGCATAAAACGTGCCCCACAGGAATAAAAGACTCCATTTCTACTCTTTTTAATCAAATAAATGCAGTCTTGAGGCGCAGGAAAGACCTCAAACTTTTAAAGGATGGTATATATTGAACTGAAACAGGTGAGAGGTAGAATGTTTTCAGATGAAGCAAAAAAATCATCTGAATTATTGACAAAAAACACAATTATCCCTGCCCTCCACCTATTTTTTGTCCAAAAAAAAAACTTTTAGTGTAATAATTCAATACATACCAGTTTTTACATGTCGTAATATCTCACAAATGTCACAAAAAAAAATTGAAAGCACCAAAAATATTTTTATTTAAATAGTTTATTCTGTTTGGCTTTGATCTCATTTCTTCTTGCTCTTCTTGTCTTTGCTCTTCTTCTTGCCTTGAGGTTGTGCGTGTGCTTTGTTGTAGAGGTAGAGTCCCACTAAACCCAGTAAAGTGGGAACCAGCGCCAGGCACAGAAGAGGCAAGATGTCATTGATGAGCTTCTGCCATGGCGTCTGCTGGGACAGAGAGATCACCTCCACCTCGAACTCCAGCGTACTGTCACCTGTGAGGAGAGACAGACAAAAGAAACTCAGAAGTGCATTGAAAGAATCACCACTCTAACCTGGAAAGAAAGAAAAAAAGGTCGGTGGAGACGAAATTTTCACAGAGACTGCTCAATTTTACAAACAATTACACAGAAGCAGTAAGTAGCACATTGAAATGTTTTATTATTGTCGGTAATAATTAAATATTGACAGTAATTGATACTGAAGCTGCTCTGTTTGTTGTTAGGAAGACAACATGTTTACTGTTCAATGTCCTATGGAAAGTTATTCAGAGTTACAAGTAACTAATTACTGTAATTAGATTACTTTTCCACAGGAAAAAAGTAAGGTAAGGGATTACTTTACATTTTCAGCTAATTTAATTACAGCTACTTATCATATACTTGTTTAAATGCTGTACATAAATTCAACAGTTCTGGATAAATCAATTAAGAGAATAATTCATTTATGAATAACATGCTTGAGAAACAATGACATGAGTCAGAAATGGATGTCAATATATGGTATGTATGAAATATAGTGTCATTGCTTTGAAACGTGTGTGTTTTGATTTATATATTATTTATAATTCTTAGTGTTACATTTTTTAATTAAGCTGCAATGTCCTGTTTGGCTCCGATTTAAGTTGTCGTTTAGTTTAATTTCTATTGTCTATACGGCGTTGAGATTTATTTGTAGTGCATTTATGGGTTGAATTTTTAGAGTTTAGTCGGGTAAATAAAAAACTTAGAATTAATGCATTACTTTTCAAACAGTAATTAAAATATAACAAATACAATCTTAATGATGTAATTAGTAATTAATAACTTTTTTAAAGTCACTACCCAACATTTAAGCCATTCAGTTTAAAATGTACCTATAGTATGGCAAGCTACTTCTGCCTAAAATGTTCCCAGCATAACTCAACATAAATGTATTTAGTATGAATTAAATTAAAGATCTCTGCAATTCAATTCTCATTAGTATTAATTACATACAGAGAGGTGTCTAATTTATTTTAAGAGCCGTGCTATTTTATCATGCAATAGACCTTTTTCCTAGTATGCAAAATTTCCCATTATGCTTTGTGTGTATGCGCAAGGAGAATGCTAAGAACTTCCAGTCGGCAGCTGATGCGTAAAAACAGTCACATTCGGACAGCTTTGAAATGATAGTTTGAATCTATTATATTCGCTTTTAACGTCTTTGAACTAATATGGTTGTCAATCAGCGCCACCTCCTGGACTGATCATTTTTAAAAATGCGATCTAATAGGATGGAAATCAACTGCTGTGAGGCATTTACCCCTCGTCTTCAGACGGCATCTTGTGCCTCGTCATCACTAAAGTCAACATTTTCTTTTTCGTTCAAATATATAACAAACTCAAACAAATGTAATGCACCAAAAAGTTTGACACACACACTCACACACATAGCCTGTACTATCCCACTAACACATTGATTGAATAAGTGGCACAAAGTGAAAATAAAGTGTCGTTTTAAAATGACAGAAAAACACAAACCCTGAAAAATATTACACAACACAAACAAACTAAATGAAACATAAACTGCTCCCGATTAAAATCAACATGCAAATCAGCCAGCAGAGTATCAATAACGCACTTTTATTGGTCATTTTGTAAATTGCATGACTTGCATACCTGTTAAGTTTCATTCCAGTAAACTGGATTGCTCTATAATGCTGTGAAGTATGTGTGTATGTCTGTGCGTGCACTGATGAGCCGCAGAGCTAACAACTGACAGGTCGAGAACACACACACACACACACACACACAGTATTTCTGACGAAAGACACGTGAACTAGTAGAGCGTTTTTCTCTTGCGCTTGATTCACATCTGACAGATTATAACGGCTTTAACACACACCTTTCAAAGTTGTGTCACAAAAACACACCGTAATTCACTCAAAACGATATTGAAACCCATTTTCGGATTGCAAATTACCTGTTGTAAACAGAAGTTCTAAACATTCTACCGGAAGACACTGGTCTCTATGGCGCTCTCCATGCAGCAGCTAAGAAAAATGTCTATAGTAACAACTTAATTAGAGAACTATCTAATTTAAAGATGCTGTTTTGTGTAAGTTAAGGTGTACGTTTTTTTTAAGGAATGAAGCCCCACCTTCTAGTAGTCGAGCCAATCATCGATCAATATAAACTGACAATTCTCAGGGGAGGGGCTCAGCCCTGACGTGTGTGATTCGATCATTTAGAAATTAAACGAAAACAACTGTTGTTGTTTACTTTTATTGGAGAATAATAATAATATGAAATTTAATCATAAGCTCGATAAAAACTTTTGGCTTCCCCATTCAAACAGTTTTAAAAATGGCCACCGAGTGAAATGACTTGCCGTAAGCCTGATTTATACTTCTGCGTCAATTGACCGGCGTAACCCACGGCGCAGGCCACGCGCGTGGCTGTGTATTTATACTTCTGTGCGCTGTCTCCGTTGGTCTGCATTAACACTTCTGAAACGCTAGTGGGCAGTGAGGTGTAAATGTTCCTCTGTGTCGAGTTTCTTCGCGGCTTTTTTGCTTTTCCTGAACACTTCCGGGATGTACAAGTGGCTCAAACTCACTCATTATGAGGCAGAAACCGGCGGACGTGCAACAACTTTAACTATGAGGTAAACACAAAACAAAACTTTCCATCCGGAGCTCCTTCACGGGACTCCACACTTGTAAACAATCGCTCGCGCCATTCGTGCGGCTCTCGGTCCCGCCCAGACTCGTCAGCGCTACCAAGCCGACCAATCACAGAGCTTACGCTACGCGTCGTTGCGACGTGTAGTTACATTTTTTGAGAGGTGCACGTCAGTGACGGCCACGGCCACGGCAAAGGGCTATGCGTCAGCGCCGTAGCATACACCGGTGTTTGACGCAGAAGTATAAATCAGCCTTTAAAGGGGCTCTGGTGTAACTCCGCCCACTGCCAGTACATCCAATTATATTTCAGTTGGCAGAAAGCAGCTAATTTCATTTGTTTTGAGGGCTTCCTCAATGTATGTGGGCGTGGCCAACATGTGTAGATGGTTGTATGTGGGCGTGGCCAAAAACGTGTGGACAGTAGCTGCCTCCGAAATGAAATGTAGATTCAGTTATAAAATACCATATAAAGCACAAACAATACAAATATTCATTCATTCATTCATTCATCACAGGGGAATGAACCGCCAACTTGGAAACAGTATACACTCTCTCATTCACACACATACACTATGACCAATTTAACTTATTCAGTTCACCTATGGCACATGTCTTTGGACTGTGGGGGAAACCAAAGCAAAGTGGGAGGACGGGGTTGGGCCAGGTGAAAAAGAAATCCTCTCTTGTATTTTAAAATTGGCCTGCAATACTTAAATTTAAACCACTCTTCACCTTTCATTTATATTTATTGTATCAAATCTTCACTTATAATGATGACAAATTAGCTTACAGTCTTTTTTCGATATATGCAAAACACACACTATATAGTGACACACTATATTCAGTTTAAAGCTGTTTTACTGAAGCTTGTTGATATGGTACCTGGAATGGTTGGAGGGTATCCTCTTTTCCCATACGCTAGATGAGCCGGAATCATGGCCTTGATTTTTTGTCTGGAAAATCAGAGACAGAAAAGACTGAAAAAGGCCTTCAGGTGGGTGATTCAGACTTCACCCTAAAAAGACCTTTTCTTGGAGTGGTCCTCAACATATTATTTACTTGCTGTACTTTCGTCGTTTGCCAACATTGTACATTCCTCAGCTAAAAAACAGCCGTTGACTTCTACTTACCCTTCACACACTCCAACCAGGGCTTGCTCCAGGCCTGCCAAGAAAAAAATAAAAGATTTAAAGATTTGTGCAACTGTGGAAACAGCACGTAATTAGTATACGTGGTTTTAGAAAAGAAAACACAACTCAAAAAGCTGTGATTAGTCATTACAACCATCTTAGATTCCAAGCTGCATTATAGTTACTGCTGTGAATAAAATTATAGTTAAAAAAGATAACATCTGTATGTTTTATTCCAGTTAAAATATCTACTGAACATAAAAATCCCAAACTTTCGACAAATAATAGATTACTGTACAATAAAAACATCCATAAATGTTTTGTTTTGCTTGAACAAATGTTGCGTCAAATGCCTGATACCCAAAACATCCCACCTATCCCGGTAGCTTCCGGAGAATGAGCTCCACTGGAGCAAGAGTGTATAACTTAACTTTTACACTAGAGCATAGATGCCCACAGATCGGAGCGGTTGTCTAGTATCGCACCAGCTGGAGCTGTTGATACGCCACCTTCAAGTGAGGTTTTGCAGGCTGCTTCCGTCTAAGATGCTCACCAATCACAATGCAATAGGACAGCTAACCAATCACAACACATTTTGTTTTTTCTAAAGGCGGGCCTTCATCATACCCAGGACAAGCAGAGCTGTTTGTGCCAGGCTGGGGAGAAAGGCATTGTAACAGTGTAAATTATGTAAACAATAATGTGCTTTTAAAACCACTAAGCATGAAAATGTTCTAGTACACCCGAAAAAAAAATCAACCCTTTAGAAATGAGTAAAAATAGGACCTTTTTTAATTTGTATAAACAAAATTGATTTTATGTGTTAAAACCATACCCGTCAACACAATTTTTGCTGGGATTTTCTCACATTTTACCATTCTATCCTGCCATCATCACATTTAAGTGTTGTCCCATATTTCTCCTGTATTTTTAACATTTCTATAAAAAGTGAAAGTAGCATTAAAGAAGTGATCTCAAATGTGATATAATTGCATAAGCTGTTCAAGAGAATTATGCTTTTGCATAATAATTAAATAATTAAATAATTAAATAATTAAAGCTATGCATCAACTGTCGCCTTCCTATGCAACCTCTGAGCATCCTGTTGACGCGGTTTGAAGATGAGCAAATGTGGACACTTTTGGATTTGCCTGTGTTTTTTAAACGTACAAATACACTTAATAATATGTAAACATGTCCGACCTGGCGTGTTTTATTTCAAACACAAATAATTTGGTCTTAAATGAGCATAAACAGTTCCGAAAGTAATCAAATGCTATCATTATAGATCTGTGCATTCTTAAAGTGACTCCTCTGTTATTAGACAAAACAGTTAATCAAAATGAGAGATTTGTTTCTCTTACTAATAATAATAATAATAATTCCTTACATTTTTGGGTTTGGGAATCTCCTCATTCACCACCAGTGTGCAGCATCCACCTGGATGACCAGACGGCAGCCATTTTGCACCAGACCGCACACCACACACCAGCTGATTGGTGGAGAGGAGACAGAGTGATAAAGCCTATTATTATATGGGGAGGGTTAGGAAGCCATGATAGACAGAGGCCAGTGGGCAGATTTGGCCAGGATGCAGGGTTTAAAACCCTACTCTTTTTCAAAGGACATCCTGGGATTTTTAAAGACCCCGGAGAGTCGGGACCTCGGTTTAACGTCTCATCTGAAAGACGGCGCTCACTGAGCATTCTAGAGTCCCCGTCACTGTACTGGCGCAGGTTCAGCGCCCCCTGCTGGCCTTACTAACACCACTTCCAGCAGCAACCTAGCTTTCCCATGTGGTCTTTAATCCAGGTACTGACCAGGCGCAGCCCTGGTTAGCTTCAGAGAGCTGCAAAGAGCTAGCTTCCGGCACAAAATATAGGTCATTGGTTTTAACAGGCTAAACCTTGTCTTTTATTTTCAATTTGCTATTATTTGTTATGTATTCTATAAAGTGAAGCTAATTTCCTCCTCATATTTCGGTTTTAAATAGGCTTATATACAATTCAACTGCTCTGAATTAACAGATTACAGAGTAAGGGGTCATTTAAGGTTTATAGAGTTTCCTTTTTTTTACGGGGTTAAGGGTTTTTTACGTCCCAATGTTGACAGGTATAGTTAAAACAGGTAGAAAAAGCTTGAGAATTGTAGGTGACTACTGTGCATAGTTGTATATATCCTAAATACGATAAGTTCAGGAACGTGTGCTCTGTTGTGTTTCTGTTATGTTGTTTTTAGGTTCCACAGCCTCATACCTGTGATGACAGACCTCTTGCCCAATTCTACAACCAAAGGCTCGCGAGACAGAGACGTGTCTATCACCTTCCCGTCCATTAATCGACCCTGCACAAAACAGCAAATTGATTTTACAGGTAATATGCATTCATTATGTGTGGATGCAACAAGCTTTGTAAATACCTGCAGACATAAGTAAAATAAGCCATCTAATAAAAAGTGTGGATTGACGTGTAAGAGGTTTGGACAGACTAGTGTAATCATGGTGTCGTAATCAGCATACATTACAACAAGGATGAACTATAGGTTAAAAATTGATCACATAAAACTAATAAATTATCACAAAATGAGGTTTTACAGTGAATAAGGCAGATATTAAAACGGGGAAATGAATGATGTCGCTTTGTTATTGCTAGAGTTTTCTGTAATAGTTTTATGCATTTTATTAATTGCAATTTAGGGCAAAAAAATGTTTGATATATTTGAGTGTGTAAAATGTTTTCTACACACACACACACACACACACACACACACACACACACACACACACACACACACACAAGCACACACTAAAGTTTATGTCAGAATAGGGTTTATTTTACTATGCTCCCCAAAAAAACTTGTAGAAACAGCATATAAAGCTCACAAGAATAGAATTGACTACACAGTAATATAATATTCTGCACATTCCTCAATGGTCATGTTTCCTTGATTTTTACAAATGAAACAGCTGTGATGTTTATATATTTTATATATTGTTATTTTATTTTATTTTATTAAGTTTAGTAACATTTTATAGACAACCTATTTTTTTTACTTAATTCATTCTCCTTCAGCTAAGTCTCTGATTTATCAGAGGTCACCACAGCGGAATGAACCACCAACTATTCCAGCATATGTTTTACTCAGGTGATGCCCTTCTAGCTGCAACCCAGTACTGGGAAACACCCATACACTCTCTCATTTACGCACACACACACAATACGGCCATTTTAGTTCAGCCAACTCACCTATAGCGCATATCTTTGGACTTGTGGGGGAAACCAAAGTACCCAGAGGAAATCCACGCCAACATGGGGAGAACATGCAAACTCCACACAAAAATGTCAACTGACCCAGCCATGACTCGAATCAGCAACCTTCTTGCTGTGAGTCGACAGTGCTAACCACTGCGCCACCGTGTCGCCCTATTTTTGTGCGTCATTAAACTAAATGATATGCTACATACATTTTGACATTGTTCCATTAATTGATGCTTCTTAATGTAAACTTGTACAGAATTTATTAATTACAATTTAATATTTACTAATGCATTATTAAAATCCTGTGTTCATGTGGGTTTCCCTCAGGGTGCTCCGGTTTCCCCCACAAGTCCAAAGACATGCGCTATAGGTGAATTGGGTGAACTAAAATGTCAGTAGTGTATGTGTGTGATTGGTAGTGTGTGGGTGTTTCCCAGTGATGGGTTGCAGCTGGAAAGGCATTTTCTGCATAAAACATATGCTGGATAAGTTGGCGGTTCATTCCGCTGTGGCGACCCCAGATTAATAAAGGGACTAAGCCGAAAAGAAATTGAATGAAAGAATTATTAAAATCCAAAGTTGTACTGAACATTAACGCACTGTGAGTTAACAAGAACTAAAATTGAACAACTTTATTTTCTTTACCTGACATTAACTAATTATACCATATTGTAAAATGGTAATATTTTATTCTTTTTTTAAAATTTAATTAATGTTTAATTGTTTTTATTTTAAAGGGGTAGTTCACACAAAACTGAAACGTCCGTCAGACAGGTTTGAGTTTCTTTTTATAATGAACTCAAAGAAGTTATTTTAAAAAATGTTGGAGACCAGTAAACTGACTTCTATTGTATTTGTTTTTCCTATATTCACTGTAAAAATGCTTATAGATTTTGTGTTAGGACAACATGAAGGAGTTAACTTGTTAGTTTTTTTTTTACAATTTTAGGTGGATTTAACATAAACCAAATAGGCTGTTTCAGCTCAATTTAAATAGTTTGAACAAACAGCAAACATAATTTTGGGAGTGTCAATGGTTACATGTTTCTAAAATGTTTAAAATGTATTCATAATCTATGGGCACCAACTGTGTGTAAAAATGTATTTTATAAAGAATTGTGTTTTTACTAATCTACTTATTGACAGTTTAACTAAAGAAACTCGCTCTCCCCTATTATAGTCGCGCACGTACAGCAACAGGAGCGCGCACACTCCTCTGACGCGCGTTTCCTCGAGTCCGAACAGTCGCGGCTCCGCTGACTCAAATGCTGACGTGTTGCTCCTCCTCCTCCACAACATTTGGTTTCGCTTAAACTGAAATACTATGTCAAATTACGAAACAAGAACGCGTTTTCATTACGAACTTCTGCTCTGTTTGGATTTGAGAGGAACATGTTAAGCGTGTTGGCGTTTTCCATGTTACATGCTGCACCACAACTGTATGTTATGTCAGATATGGCGAGTCCAGATGTCAGCTTGACTCTGCCACATCACTGGACGGCTTCATGTGCAAATAACCCAGAGTCCATTTTGACATGCTTTATGTTAGAACAACAAGAGATTTCATTGGAGGGTTCCTTGTTTTACAACATAATGGGCTTTAATGGCGCAATGCGCTGTATTTCTTACCGTGTAGTGGATTTGCAGCGTGTCTCCCATCTCGGATGTAATCGTGCACGACTCCGGCATCACCTAAAACACACATATCAGTGAGAAATATTACAGAATGCACAACCTGACTGCAAATTGAAATGCAAAGAACAGCAAACCGATGCAATATTGTGATGAGATGTTTTTGCGTCAAAAGCACGTATGCAGTGAGCCGCTACGTGGACTGTTGTAGTAACAGTCATTCATAAAAAACTTGCCACAACTCACCAACGTCTCCACAACCAACTGTTCGATCACGCTTTCTTTGCTCTCCCCGTCCTCAGCGGCAACAAATGCAAAAACCGCGAGGAAAATCAAGACGATCCCCGTCCGAGTTGCCATCGTGTCTCACGTTAAGAGAAAAAGCAGCTGTAAGAGAAACCACAGACAGGATAAAAGCTAAACTCACTTCCGTCACCGGAGTCTCGCTTCTGCAGCCCGCTGTGCTGAGGGACGCAATAAATACTCAGACAGGAGAATCAGCCGAGGCGAGATGCCAGTTAAAGCTGATGTGTTATTAAACTCAAGAGATAACGGAGGGGTTACGCGACCCTCGACCACTGGACTAATACCTGGGTCACTGGAATCCCCGCCTCATAATCCGCCAGCATCCCAGAAGTCTCTCCATACCCACGGCTGCAGCTGTGAGAGAACTTCCCCGATAGAGGGCGCGGTGTCGTGCTGTATTTCAAACTGCTGTAGCATTTAATCTAATGTACTAACTACATGTACTAGTGTGCGAGATTGACAAGTAATTTGTGTTATGTGCATCCTTATCGAACCAAATATACAGTTGAAATCAAAATTATTAGCCCAGCTGTGATGATTTTATTCTTTTAAAAGTTTATCTATCAGTTTATTCCCAACAGTTGCTTAACTGCGATACTTTTTAACACATTTTTTAAACATAATAGTTTTAATAACTTATTTCTAATAACTAAGTTATTTTGTCTTTGCTATAATATTTTAATAGTTATTTTGCAAGACACTATTCAGCGTATTGTGCAATTTATAGGCTTAACTATGTTGAAAAATTAGGTTAATTATCAAGTCCACTGGAAAAAAAAATGTTGCAAATAATTTTTGTGTTAAATTTTTTTTATTGTTTACAAAACAAACAAATAAATTGAGTATTGTACAACTTAATTTGCTCGTTTAAATTCAGCCCAAATTAAATGTTTACAACCACTTAACTTGACAACCACTTAATCAAAAATTACGTAAATCCAAGCAATCATCTTTGAACCATTTTTTCAGTGTTGTATAATGCCATGCTAATAATATTTATCATAAAATTGCCAAAAAATAAAAAATAAATAAATAAACTGCTTTTATTCCAGCCAGACTAAAATAAATAAGATTTTTCCTAGAATAAAAAATAATATTGGAAATACTGTGAAAACATCCTCTGTCTGTCACTTGGGAAGTATTTGAAAAGGAATATAAATGTCACAGGTGGGCTAATAGTTCTAACTTCAACTATTTAATTCAACGGCACTCATGGATCTTGTCTATTAAATATATATAACATATGTCTAATTTGGCTTGCTTTTTGGCTATATATGTAGATCTAAAGGCCTATTTTACAAGAAAAGGGCTCTTTTGAGCACTCACACCCTGTCCTAACAACAAGCAACGTGACAAGATTCCAACTACAAGCAATTCTCTGTTTGCATCAAACGCGACGTGTATTCATTCATTTTCTTTTCAGCTTAGTCCCTTTATTAATCCGGGGTCGCCACAGTGGAATTCACTTTGTGAAAGGTGTAATAGCAGTTTCACAGAAAACTTGAACCCACATACCCCTCAGTAAGTCTGTAGTTGTGCCCCTGCGTAAGAAACATTGATCAGTTAAGTACACATATAGGTTGCATACATATATTAAAACATTGCAATTTCGAGTAACAAAAATATAAAGTTATTTAATTATTCATCTACCTAAATAATAATAAAGTGACTTTCATATTGTACACTCCAAAAAAGGGCAGGTTATTTCAACCCAGTTTCGGGTGTAATGGGTTATTTATTTTTAGTGAATTAATAGGACCAAATTTAACCAGTGTTTTGATTGGTCCATATGTAACCAAGTTTGTGTTTAAAAAATACAGTATTTCTTAGATTGTATTCTTTCATAGACCTTCATGTTCATATTGTAATATTATTAACCTTTTTGCTCAACTGTTTCAGGCTCAAATCAATCTTTCGGTGTCAACGAAAAAACTAATCACACTGTTATTGTCGCCAAAAAGAAAAATTCTGCTTCTTTAACCCCCAAACAAGCAGTTTTATCTTGTATAACTTATTTAGTCTATTTTCAGATGTGCAGAAATGGTGTATTCACCGCATCTTAGGTTAATAAGTACTCTCCTGCCTCAATATTTATTTCAATGCATTATATAATTTTCCCTCTGACTTTTTCTTTCTTTTTACTTCATATATTCTTTAATTTGTTTCCCAGTACTGGGTTGCAGCTAGAAGGGTATCCGCGGTGTAAAATATATGCTGGATAAGTTGGCGGTTCATTCCGCTGTGGCAACCCTTGATCAATAAAAGGACCAAGCCGAAAAGAAAATGAATGAATGAATATTTTTTTATTTCTAATCTGCATAATGTTAAAAAAATCAGTAGATGCAGTGTTTAAGGTTGTTTCATCATATATCGTTAACTGTTTTGACATCAATAAACATTTCCTTGACTTGTCATTTATTTCACTACTACTAGGCTACCTGGTCTGGCTGGAGGCAGTCTCAAGATGCGAAAACCAAATCTCGCGAGATGTCCCCATCAAAGACTGAACAGTCGGCGCAAACTCTCGTGAGATCTTCTCCGCCTCTCCGCGTTCAAAATCGGCTGGTGTCAGCTCGCAAGGTAACCCAGATATATTCATTTGTTGTTAATGCTTTAAAACGAAACGCTTCCAGTTGGTTCTGACAGGTTGAAATATTGAATGTGCGTTTGGTTGAATGTGACAGCGCATTGATATCGCTGTGAAAATAAGAGTCGACAGGCCTTCCGCGCGGCACGTAACGTTAGCGTCTGTCTGTCCCTCTCTCTCTCTCCAAATGAATGAAGATCTGTATCACAGAAGATGTGCTGCCGGACGCCTCTTCACACATTAACACCGACTCTGTTCGCTTAGGTTGGGACTGAGATTAGGTATAGGTTTGTTATGATCTTGCGTAATATTAATTTCACCCATCTGCTTCGTGCCAAACGCCTCTGTTCGCAGAGTAACCGATCTTTGTATTACATTGTCAAAGGGTCGTAGGCCTGTACTAGCTCTGGTAGTAGGGAAAAATGAATAATCTAGAGATATGTTCTTGTTTTTAAAGGTCATCATGCTAGAAATAACGTGCAGATCTGTTTATCGCTTGCGTTTTGCTGCCTCGTGACCTCAGTAATGTCGGTTCTCCTCCGGCTTTCAGGAAACCTGGTTTATCGAGGTATTCATATATGAGAAAGCTTTTATAAAACAGAGGACGACTGATGGAAATGTGTGTTGAAGATCATGTGGGATGTGATTTGTGTGGTTTGCTGGAGATGGTCTGGGCGTCAGTACCATGGACAGCACCGCCGGCGTCAGACCCCCGCTGCGTGTATAAACCTCCGTCAGATCATTAATAATCATAACCACTGCTGTCTCAGTCCACTAATGTGTCTTTAACTACGGCCTAGTACTGACATATTAGTTTATTTCCACAATTTCTGTTTAAGGTATAGAAGATTTATTTCAACACATTACCAACATAATAGTTTTAATAACTAATTTCCAATAGCTGATTTCTTTTATCGTTGCCATTATGACTACATAATATAGGGACATTCTACCAAAAATGTAGATTAAAGCTAACAATATTGTAAATAGTGTTAAACTTCTTGCACAGTTTAGCTTCATAAGTGAATCATCAGGAACCATGGGGATTCATGTGGACTTATTTGTATGTGTTTATTTTTAATGTAAAATAGGGTGACCATTGACTGCCATTATAGAAATCACAAAGGACCGCGGATTGAGCTCAAAATTTTCTCTTATGTTCTAAACAACAAAATTCACCTACATCATTGGGTGCAAATTAATTGTTAACTATCCTTTAAGTAGCAATGCTTGCTAAGGTGGGATACGGTTAAAGGGATAGTTCACCCAAAAATAAAAAGTTACTCATTTACTCACCATCAAGTGGTTATAAACCGTACTTTATACTATTAAACACAAAATAATATATTTTAAAGAAAGCTTAAAAACTGTAACTATTGAATTCCATTATAAGAAAAACAATTAAAAGTCAATGGTTGTTTAGGGGTTTCCAGCTTTTTTCAGTATGTCTTATTTTGTGTTCAGCAGAAGAAAGACAAACAGGTTTGTGATCATTGAAATGTAAGTAAATGATGACTAAATTTTCAGATTTGGGTGAAACATCCCTAAACAATTGTTGTTATTAGGTTTAATTGTTGGTTAAGGAGTTGTTTCCCAGTCATTAGTGCAATTATATATGAAACTACAAAACTAAATGTAATTACATGCAGATATTAAGAAATATAATAATATAATATAAACACCATACTGTAGATCCAGCTAAAACATAAACTGTAACTGTAAATGATCATATTTGGGGTAACTATTCCTTTAAATGACCCTATAATATATTATAATATAATATATAAAATAATATAATATATAAAATAATATAATATAATATAATATAATATAATATAATATAATATAACATAGCGAAGAGGTGGCTCAGTGGTTAGCATTGTTACCTCACAGCAAGTACTTTGAGTCCCAGCTGGGCCATATGGCATTTCTGTGTGGAGTTTGCATGTTCTCCTCTTGTTGGTGTGGGTTTCTTCTGGGTGCTCCGGTTTCCCCCACAGTCTAAAGACGTGTTATAGGTGAATTTGGTAAACAAAATTGGCCATGGTGTATGAGTTTGTGTGTGAATATGAAAGTTTATGGATGTTTACCAGTACTGGGTTGTGGCTGAAAGGGCATCCGCTGCATAAAACATATGACAGAATAGTTGGCGGTTCATTCCGCTGTGGCAACCCCTGATAAATAGTGGACTAAGCTGAAGGAAAATTAATGAATAATAATATAATATATTACAATTATTGCGTCATTTTATTTTGACACCCGTTAAGCTGAAAGATATTATCTTACACAAGTTTGTAACTTTTTTAATTTAGTGGTAAATTCTTATGAATTTGTACATCTCAATCATTCAATTTAATACAATTTCCTCAGTAATGTTTAGATACGAGACACACAAAAAAAAGCTATTTAATACAAATGACATCTGAATATGTACGAATCAGACACATTTTGTCAATATGTAATATATATATATATATATATATACTTTTTTTTTTTTTTTTTTTTTTACATTGGTGAATTAGGATGAGGATGGTTTTGAGGGAACGTGTTCTAGATCTGAAGATCTCCATCTGGGATCGTTCAGGGAGGACTAGTGGGCTTTTGGTGTGATGGAGGGATGAACAGATTGTCATTCAGCCTGAAGTCATGGCAGGATCCTACTGTAGTTGCTCAGTTCAGTCTCTGTGCAGTTAGTCAGCTCTGTACAGTAGTGAAGAGGAGAAATGCATGTACACATCAGAAGCTCATTCACATTCGCCCACACAGGATTTTGAGACATGATGATTTTTAG